GGCTTTGGAATGATGTGATAGAGCTCAATGATTCCTACCCGCAAGTTGACCAGAGTAAGAAACACCTGGAAGGTCAGTGCAAATACAAGTCCAGTGTCCTCCTTGCAGGGATTCTGATTCAGTGCCCTCAGGTGGGGCCTGGAATGTGTTTGTTAACATGACTCAGATGTGCAGTCAGTTTGGGGACACTCTGATACCACGGACCTTACAGTTTATGGGATGATTCTGTTTTGCTGATGAAGAAACCAAGGCACAGAGAATCTGTAACTTGCCCAAGTTCCCTTTGCTGTAAGCACTGGAGCCCGATGTCAGGAAGAGTCCCCCTTCCCCAATCCGCATTCCACATTTTCCAATTCAGTTGTGTAGGTGCTTTCCAAGTAGGTGTTTCTCTCCCCCGTACCTCATTTCTGCAAAACAAGCAAACACACATTAAAACAAACAAACAAAAAACAAAACAAAACAAAACAAATTCTTGAATTCAATTTGTTTCATTTAATATATTTCCTTATAACTTGCAGTCAGCATTATATTCTGGCCACTTACTATTAATGTGAGATGCTTGTTTTTTTTGTTTTTATTGGTTTTTTTTTTTGAGACAGATTCTCATTCTGTCATCCAGGCTGGAGTGCAGTTGTTATTAGAGCTCACTGCAACCTTGAACTCCTGGGCACAAGCGATCCTCCTGCCTCAGCTTTCCAAGTATCTGGAACTCTAGGCACGCATCACTATTTTTGGCTAATTTTTTGTTTTTAAATTTTTTGTAGAGACGAGGTCTTGCTATGTTGCTCAGGCTGGTCTTAAACTTCTTTCACTCAAGAACTTTTTATTGGAAAGTCTTTCATTTCCCCAATGAGAAGCACTGGTGTCTTTGTTTTTAAAAACTTTAAATAACTGTATATATGTGAGCATAATGTTTGAGTCTGTGTTCTTTGTATGTTGATATACTTCTATATACTTACACTAGTACCATAGTTTTTAAATTATTGTAGCTCTAAAATGAGTTTTGAAATCCAGCAGAATAATTCCTACAACTTACTGCTTCTTCAAGACTGACTTGCCTGTTCTAGGTTCTTTGATTTTCAAATACATCTTGAAATTAGGTTTTACATTTCTCTAAAAATTCCTACTAGAAACATTAATCAGAACTATGTTGATGTAATATCCTAACAAAATTAAATCTTCCAATCCATGAATGTAATATATTTCTCTATTTAGTCTTCTTTAATTTCTCTCACCAATAGTTTTCAGGGGCTTTGTACCTGCTTCATTATATGTATTCTTAAGCATGTAATGATTTTGGATATTAATCTCTATTATTTTTTATTGAATTTCATTTTCTAGCTGCTAATTGCTAGTATGGAGATATTAAGATGACTAAATCAACGTTATAAGGATATTTATTAGGTACAATAGACTGCACCACTTTAAAATGAATAATCCAATGCATGTTTACAAAGGTATACACTAATGGAACTACTGCTACAATCAAGATATAGGAATTTCCATAAGCCCAAAGTTTCTTGTAACCCTTTGCAGTTTATCAATCTTTCAACCCTCAGGTGTGAGGAGCCACTGTCACTTTCTGGCAGTGCATTTTTAACCATTTTCTATAAATGAAATTATACCTGTGTACTTTTGTGTCTGCCTTCTTTCATGTGTTATATTAATTTTAAAATCCATCCATGTGAGTATTTTCAGCAACAGTTAATGCCTTGTAATTGCTGAGTAGTATTCCTTTGTGTGGCAATACCATGTCTGTTTATACATTCACTTATTGCTGGACATTTGTATCATTCTAGGTTTGGGCTATTTTGAATAAAGCATCATGAGCATCCATATACAGATCATTGTGTGGATATAGTGTGTAAATTCCTAGGAGTGGAAGGACTGTCCATCTGACTGTACATGTTTAGTCTTACAGGAAACTCTTAGCCAGATTTTCAAAGGAGTTGTACCATTTTTCATTCCCGCAAGTATAAAACTTCCAAGTGCTTTATATGTGGTATTTTCCGTCTTTTTAATTTCAGCCGTTCTCATGGATAAGTAATGGTATCTCATTGTTGTATTGATTGATCTCCGTGATGACTAAAGAGTTGAGCATCTTTTCATTTGCGAATTGACCATTTATGTATCTTATTTTCTGAAGTATCTATTCAAGTCTTTTGAGAAATTGTTTCATTGTGCTGTTTATCTTATCAGACTGCATTATATATACATACTATTAAAAAATCCTTTGTTGGAGAGAAATATAATTTCTCCTCTATTGTGGCTTCTTGTTATGTTCTCTGAATGTTACCTGCTTTGAAGATAAAGATAGATAATCATCAAAAGGTGATTATGTATATATACATATAACTATGTTCATGTCTAAGAATCATTTATTAGACATATATGTAAGGATCTATTTCTGAATTCTCTTTTGTCTTACATTGATATATGTTCTATTTTTCAACAATACACATTATCTTGATTTCCATAGCTGTATAGTAAATCTAGAAATAGGGAGTGAATACATTCACCATTGTTCTTTTATAATATTGTTCTCTTATTATTATTGATCATTGACATTTTCATACAAATCAGCTTATAAATTTCTACCAAATTACCTGTTGGAATTTTTCTTAGAATTGCATTGCATCTGGAGATCAATTTGGGTAGAACTGACTTTTTAACTATAACAGCACTTCTGATTCATGACAAGGTTTATCTCCCCACTAATTTAGTTTTTTTTTTTTTTTAATAATTCCTCAAAGCAGTGTTTTGTAGTTTTCAGTGTTCTGGCCTTACATAAATTTTGTTGATTGTTTCTAAGCACATCATGAATTCAGATGTTACTTTAAATGAAATTGTATTTTTATTTTATTTTCCAAACACTCATTGCTAATATACAGAAATACAACAGACTATTTATATTAAACTTACATTCTGCAACATTGCCAAATTCACTTAATAGTTTTGGTAAATTTCAGTAGATTTCTGGAATTGTTTACATACATAATCATGATCTGTGAAGAAAGATAGCTTGAATTCTTTCTTTTCAATCTTTGCAATGTTTCTATTTATTTACTGTTCTTACTTTATTGCAATGGATAATATCTCTAGTATAATGCTGGATTGAAAGAGTAACAGCAGATATTCCACATTTTTCTCTATTTAATAGAAAGCATTCAATCTTATTAATGTTACCTGTGGGTTTTTCAAATATGCCCTTAGTAGAGTTGGAAGTGTTGCCTTCTGTTCTTATCAAGCTGAGAGTTTGTTTTCTTTAATCATGAAAAAAGTTTTCAATTTGCCAAATGCTTTTTCTGTGTATGTCAAGGTAATCACATGGTTTTTCTCTTTTGTCCTGATAATATACAGAATTATATCAGTTTTTAAATATAAAAAGATTTATTAAATCAAGCTATGGCAGTTTTAAAATAATATTTTAAACTTTTAGCAATTATATTGAGATATAACTTACATGCAAAAAACTGCACATAATTAAAGTGTTTAATTTTAAAAGTTTGAGCATCGTATACATCTGCAATCAGGATAGTAAATATATACAGGCATGGTGGCTCATGCTTGTAATCCCAGCACTTTGGGAGGCCAAGGCAGGTGGATAGATTGAGCTCAGGATTTCAAGACCAGCATAGGAAACGTGGTGAAACCCCATCTCTAAAAAATACACAAAAATTGGCCAGGCATGGTGGCATGTGCCTGTAGTCCCAGCTACTTGGGAGGCTGAGTTTGGAGGATGACTTGAGCCCAGGAGACAGAGGTTGCAGTGAGCCAAGAATGTGCCACCACACTCCAGTCTGGGTGACAGAACCAGACACTGTCTCAAAAAAAAAAAAAAAAAAAGATAGTGGATATATCTACCATTTCCAAAGTGTCCTTGCATCACTAGTAATTCCTCCCTCACCTTTCTACCCCACCTCAGACAACTACTGGTTGGCTTTCTATCATAATAGATTAAGTTTTCTATAAATAGAATTATACACTATGTAAATTATTTTGGTTTGATTTTTTAATTCAGAATAATTATTTTGAGATGTAGCCATGTTGTCATGTGTATTAATAGATCACTGTGTTATACTGCTAATATTCCATGTGATGAATATATCACAATTTATTTTATTTATTCATCTGTTCATGGATTTGGATGGCTTCTGGTTATAAAACTAAAGCTTTTGTCAACGAATCTGTATGGACATATCCTTTCCTTTCATTTGGGTGAAATAGCAGTATCATATGGTAGGTACAGGTTTACTATTTTAAGAAGCTGCTAAACTGTTTATAAAGTGCTTGTAAACTTTCACATTCCCATCAGCAGTGTATGAGAGTTTTTGTTTCCATACATCTTTGCCAATATGTGGAATGGTGATTCTTTTAACTTTAGTCATTTTACTTGGTATACAGTGGTTTAAATTTGCACTTGCCTAATGACTAATGATATTGAATAAACCTTGTCATATTGTTATGTGCCTTCCATATATCTTCTTTGCTGAATATCTCTGCAAATCTTTTATTCACTTGAAAGTTTGATTGTCTCTTTATTAATAAATTTTGAGAGTTCCCTTAGTGTTGTAGACAGAGGTCCTTTATATCAGATCTATAATTTCCAAACATTTTCTCCTTAAATATGGCTTGTCTTTTCTTTCTCTTACCAATGTCTTTGAGGAGCAATTTTTTAAAAGTGTTATTGAAGTGTAATTTATTGTTTTGTTCTTTTACCAGTTTTTAGGGGGAATGCTTCCAGCTTTTGCCCATTCCATATGATACTGGCTGTGGGTTTGTCATAGATAGCTCTTATTATTTTGAGGTATGTTCCTTTGGTGTGTAGTTTGCTGGGAGTTTTTTTTAACATGAAGTGATGTTGAATTTTATCAAAAGCCTTTTCTGCATCTATTGAGATAATCATGTTTTCAGTTTTAGTTAAATTTATGTGATGAATCGTATAATGTATGTTGAACCAACCATGCATCCCAGGAATGAAGCCTACTTGCTCATGGTGCATTGGCTTTTTGATGTACTGCTGGGTTGGATTTCCTAGTTTATTGCTGAGGAGTTTTGTATCTATGTTCATCAGGCATATTGGCCTGAAGTTTTCTTTTTATGTTGTATGTCTCTGCCAGGTTTTGGTATCAGAATGATGCTGGCCTCTTAATATGAGTTAGGGTGGAGTCCTTCCTCCTCAAGTTTTTGGAATAATTTCAGTAGAATTATTATCAGCTCTTCATTATAGAAGAATTTAGCAATGAATCCACCTGTTCCGGGCCTTTTTCTGGTTGGTTGGCTTTTTATTATCAATTCAATTTCAAAACTCCTTATGGTCTGTTCCAGGATTTCAGTTT